TCCCCGTTGGCCAACCCCAACCTTCTTCTTCCAACCCGAGGTGGACATGGACCTTCTCTGTGGTCCTCGGGTGACCTCCTGAGAGCTCCACCCTCCTGGTTGTCCCCTCCCAAACCCCATTGAGATCCTCCTGGGGTGGACCGTTGGGTCAAGTTGGTCCCCGTTGGCCAACCCCAACCTTCTTCTTCCAACCCGAGGTGGACATGGACCTTCTCCATGGTCCTCGGGTGACCTCCTGAGAGCTCCACCCTCCTGGTTGTCCCCTCCCAAACCCCATTGAGATCCTCCTGGGGTGGACCGTTGGGTCAAGTTGGTCCCCGTTGGCCAACCCCAACCTTCTTCTTCCAACCCGAGGTGGACATGGACCTTCTCCATGGTCCTCGGGTGACCTCCTGAGAGCTCCACCCTCCTGGTTGTCCCCTCCCAAACCCCATTGAGATCCTTCTGGGGTGGGTTATGGGTCAAGTTGCTCCCCGTTGGCCAACCCCAACCTTCTTCTTCCAACCCGAGGTGGACATGGACCTTCTCCATGGTCCTCGGGTGACCTCCTGAGAGCTCCACCCTCCTGGTTGTCCCCTCCCAAACCCCATCGAGATCCTCCTGGGGTGGACCGTTGGGTCAAGTTGGCCAACCCCAACCTTCTTCCAGCCCGAGGTGGGTCAAGACCCACCTTTGGCTCCTCCAACGTCCTCCAGAACCTTCTCTGGTGGAGGGTTCTCCACCGTTCTCCTGCCCCACAGGGGTTGTCCACCCCTTGAAGGGCTTCTCCAACCTTCTCCTGCCCCATAGAGGTTGTCCACCCCCCTGGAGGGATCTCCTTTGACCTCCTCAGAGCTCCACCCTCCTGGTTGTCCCCTCCCAAACCCCACTGAGATCCTCCTGGGGTGGACCGTTGGGTCAAGTTGCTCCCCGTTGGCCAACCCCAACCTTCTTCTTCCAACCCGAGGTGGACATGGACCTTCTCCATGGTCCTCGGGTGACCTCCTGAGAGCTCCACCCTCCTGGTTGTCCCCTCCCAAACCCCATCGAGATCCTCCTGGGGTGGACCGTTGGGTCAAGTTGGCCAACCCCAACCTTCTTCCAGCCCGAGGTGGGTCAAGACCCACCTTTGGCTCCTCCAACCTTCTCCAGAACCTCCTCCAGTGGAGGGTTCTCCACCGTTCTCCTGCCCCATAGGGGTTGTCCACCACTTGGAAGGGTTCTCCACCCTCCTCCTGCCCCACAGGGGTTGTCCACCCCCCTGGAGGGATCTCCTCCAACCTCCTCAGAGCTCCACCCTCCTGGTTGTCCCCTCCCAAACCCCATTGAGATCCTTCTGGGGTGGGTTATGGGTCAAGTTGCTCCCCGTTGGCCAACCCCAACCTTCTTCTTCCAACCCGAGGTGGACATGGACCTTCTCTGTGGTCCTCGGGTGACCTCCTGAGAGCTCCACCCTCCTGGTTGTCCCCTCCCAAACCCCATTGAGATCCTCCTGGGGTGGGCCGTTGGGTCAAGTTGGTCCCCGTTGGCCAACCCCAACCTTCTTCTTCCAACCTGAGGTGGACGTGGACCTTCTCCATGGTCCTCGGGTGACCTCCTGAGAGCTCCACCCTCCTGGTTGTCCCCTCCCAAACCCCACTGAGATCCTCCTGGGGTGGGATTTGGGTCAAGTTGGTCCCCGTTGGCCAAC